TTCCTTGAAATTTTCAGGAGCTTTAGGTGAAATTGCCAACAAAATTATCTGAAAAGTTGGAGGAAAAATATTTACAAATTTTTCGGAAAATGCGTGATTTACTAAAAGAAATGTGGCAACGCCTGAGGGTTCATATGGCGGTTTTCCTTATCACAGCAGAAGGGAGGAAGGATAAAAATTAAATCGGCAAACTAAGCATGGAGCGAGGGAAAGCACGTTCACGCCTCGAAGCAAGGCGCCTTCAATTTTGTAGATGCAACACGGACATCCATGCAACACGAATAGTTGTATCTCTGCGCCGTCATCAACGCACCTCATTTCCTTTGCTCTATTTCCATGTTGCGTTAGTTCCGTTTGTTTTATTTACGGAAGGGTTATGGAGCAACACTGCAGAAGAAAGGACATACGTAATGGGGCTTTATTTTTTTAACCTTTTGGCCTTACTTTCCGACAACTTTTAGCGATATTTGGCCTCAAGAATATTAAAGTCACAATTCGTGAGGAGAATTCAGGAGTTTTGAATTTTTTAGGGTAATAGACATGCTTCTTTTGGCAAATGGAAGAGCTTTTTCCAGGGCTACATTACATCGGGCGTAAGTTATTTCTGAAAAATGGTCTTGTTTTTCCTCTGGGGCTTATTTTCCGATAAATTCGCGTTTGGACGGCCAAAAATAATCAAAATTTTACCCTTTGAAACTCAAGATCTCCTGAAATTTCTTTAATTATCTACTAGTTTTACAAGTTAGATAGACACTGATAAAATTAACAGTCCAGAACAATAGCTCGATAGGCATAACAACAAGAATTTGCGTACTTTCGATTCCAAATCGTGGTGACTCACGGCATTACCTCTCTTCACATTTTCACTCTTTGACCTTTCCTTCCGAAACATTGTATAAAGAACCCCCTCGGTGGAGAATAGCCACATCGAAACAACGTAGGCACGAAAGTACGCTTGAAGAATCATGCTAAGCTCTTTGAACGAATCGAACTCCCAGAAAAACATTGTAACAATGTAAATTGGGTGTTATTGTTAATTAAATTCAAATTCTACCATAAATGTTGTGATGTCAAATGACTTAATTCAATTGTGTCGAGGAAAGAACGAGACAAATTAATATCAGTGGTGACTAAGAGTTCTGATTGTAAATATTTTCATGGTGTTCAGCGGCCAGTATAAGATTCCTGGCTATGATAACAATAAGTTTGGCACATGTGCTAAACGCATAGATGACAATTTTTGGAATTTAGACCTTCTTTGTAATTTGAAAATTTGCAAGGGATACAGTATTCGATTTTTACCATCGATGTGCAAAATTTTCTCCAGAATCCAAGATTTATTTTTCAGTATGTCTACTCGTGTCACATGGCTGTCTGCTGAGCGGTTTCCACTCCAAGTACAATTTTGAAAAACACGGGAAAATAATTTTAAGATTAGTATTACTATGCACAAAATGAACGGTCATCCTCAGATATAGATACATTTTAGTTGATGACCGTCAATTATGTTGAGATTGAAGCAATATTCATTGTTACAATATTTCTGGTACTCAAGTTCGCTGGATTTTTGTCATCGCAAACGCTCAGCACACCAATCATGCAGCCGTCTCAAATGCGACGAGGACAGAGAAATTGCGCGAGGCCAATACCCAGGCATCACTGATCCATTTTAGGGAGGAATTTACTAATGTTCGATGAAAGTTCCTCGAAATTAGTCCTTCATAAAATTGTTGGAATGTCTATGAACTATATGGATAGGTCCTAGAAATTGTAGTGCCGATCCACATCTATTAAAAACGATGCACTCAGAAAGAAAATAGGTTGTGTAACACCAGGACTTTACATTAGTTATGCGAGTAATACATAATTTTACCTATTTCCATACCTAGCACACCTCAAGAGTAACATTACCGGCTAGAAATGAAGGAAGAATATTTTTGGGGAAAAAACTAAATATATTTAATTTTATCCTGTTTGGTGTGCAGAGTTGGTAGAGGAAACATTCGCATTTAATAATTTGTTGCGCCGGTTGTCATTAAAAACTAAGTTCATTTTAGGTAAGAGATCCAAGAAGATTTTTAGCTAGACTGAAAGTACTTTTGACTAAATGCACAATCAAAATTGATTTGGCTTAAATATTCGTCAATATGGGAATTAAGACGCGATCGGCTAAGGAACTAAGTTAATTTGACAAGAGAAATGTAAATAACTGCTTCATTTTTGACCCTTTAGAAATTTGTTTTAATCAATAAGTTGTATGTATGTATCAATTTGTAAAAAAAAAATGAAAAAATAAAAAATAAAGAAAACCTATTCCAAAATTGATAATAATTTTAGTAATGTGTACCTGACGCTTTATTTTTACTGGAGAAATAAACGTATTAAGGTTCTTAAAAACTGACTTCACATTTTATTTTGAAAAAATGTACCGAATAATCCGAATTTCAAATGCGTGTTCACGTATAATGAAGACCGAGAAAACATACTTTTCGCAGTTTCAAAAACGATTTTCAGGCATAGTGATGTTCTATTTTGTACCACCTAGGAACAAATCTTGATTATACGAACAGATGAATTCAGTTGGTGCTTTCTACATCAAATCGGTGAGCAGAAAGATCAGGATTTTTGAACTGGCACTTAGACGAGGTGTGAGGTAAAAGCTTTCCGTAACAAGTTTCCTCTACAAAATTTCACCAGGAAAACGAATCATAAAACGTAAACATCTAGAGACAAACTCTTAAACAAGATACAGGTGTTTCAAATTCATTGATGAAAAGAAAGAAATACAAACGACGTCATTTGTATGATCTATCTTCCATTTGATGTGTATTAAAAATACTTGTTAAAATCTCGTTTAAGAGTCGACGTCAAACTTACCATTGTGTGCATTGCTTTCTACACTGGAAAAAAATTCGCTTGGATCTGGAGTCCAGACTCTTAAAAACACTGAAAAGAAAAAAATACTCTCGATTCAATCGGACTTTTTGCTAAAATCAAAAGGAAAGCCGCCTAAATCAAGAAGCTCGACTCTGCGACTCAAGGAAAAATTGGATTGAATCAAGAGTATTTTTAAACTACATTTTTGTACTCACTGAAAAAAAGTTGAGGAGGAAACATGTTGAGTTTTTCTCTAATTCAGACCGTGTCTAGCCGCCCATTGAGGTTCGGTTTATGCGACTTAAAGCTCATTCTTCTTCACCAAAAACTACCGGCTGAAAGCATCTGTTCGTATGACACAGATTATTACTCTGTTCACGGAGGAGTTCTCGGACACACACAAGTTCTGCGTGATTGACATTTTCAATGCGATGTTGCCGACGTTCAGCAAAGAAGTTGGTCGCGTGCGGTAAATTTAGATGCAGATCTGGCCGTTACCCAGTCCGCGTCGATCGTAATATTACACACTATCGTATTTAGTGTACACGGTGTTTTAAAAGAAAGTATCCACCTTGAATATTGTTCGAGCAAATTCGAATACCGGAAGGCGCCGGAGCGAGGGACCCAAAAGTTCAAATAAGCAGAAAATATGTCCCCCTCAATACGTTTATTCGCGTTATTCCATTATCGAATTCGTTCAAGTATTTCCAAGGAAGATATTTTCGATTTGAAACACCCTGCATAGTATCAATAAGCATAGTATTCGGAGTTTTAAGAGTTACATAATGCTTTTGGACACATATTGGTCGCAATGCAAGCTAAGCGATGGAAACAAAATCAATGCTGCCAGAATCGACTGAGTTATTGATTAGCTGATTGACAAGTTTTATTACATGAAAAATTCAAATATTAGGCTGCCCTTTGATATGACGTAATTGATTTTAATTTTGTTTCATGCTTCGAAACCGTGCATCCTCATTGCAACGTTATAAAATTCCTGCGCACATTGCATTCGTTAAAGGGAATACCAATCAACATTGCGGCTTACAATTTTTATCGGGGTCCTGGGACGATAAAGAGGAATCCGAAACATTTCAAATTGTGATATTGATTTTTTTCTCCTTCTAAAAACAATTTAAACGTGGAAATTTTAAAACGTTTCAATGAAGACACGTTGTTTTGAGATTCACTTATCGGTGTTGCGGTAGGACTTCAATGATATTGGGATTACTTATCCTGACCAGTTTGCCACGGAGGAAAAACTTCCTGCGTGAAACCCGAAGTATGGACCGTATAAATCACTGAAGTTTTCGAATCGCGCATCCGAAAAGTTGAGGTCCAGATACCAAACTTCGGGTCACACATCTAAAGTACTTCAGTACTTCGGCTGGAACTTTTCAAGATTCGATCAAAGTACCGAAGTACTACACTGACCTAAAATTTGGCGGCTGAACTTCATGTTTTTGGATGCACTATCCGGAAACTTCAGAGATCCATATGGCCTAAACTTCGGTCCCAAAGAAGGAAATTTTTTTCTATGTGGCACGTGGACGAGAAAGGTCACCTTAAGAATCGCATATCGTACAAAAATAATAATGGACCCCAAGAAGTATATGTTTCTGCAATTTTCGACGGCAAACTGAATTAAAGTAGCATAAAGCTTGAATTGCAACTATGATCGTAATTAACATCACCTGTTTTGATGAACTTTTTCATGATCTTTTACTAACTACATGTTACCGATGTAGATAAATGCGATCAAGAGGGACTTGTATCATCGAGGGGGAAAAGAAAGATTTTAACAGCAAAAGAGTTACTATCGAGAACAATTGCTCCGAACTCCTAAGAAATTAGCAAATTCCTTGTCACACCTACAACTCTATTGTCAGTTTCTGTTGTTACCTTGACTCAAAACTGAAACGGAGAGGTTATCTAGAAAACCTAAAGCATGCTACCCAATCAAAGATTTGTCTTAGATGGGGATGCTTCCCTTGTGAAGTTACGATTAAGAACCCGATTTTGGCAGCATTGACATGGTTAGTATAAATGAACATCGATGGAACATTCAACTGACACTCAGGAAGCTCAGCGAAGAGAGAGAAAGAGAGAAACATGAGTCTCACCTATGCACGGGTTTTGATTTACCAGACTGAATATGCGATCGCACTTCCTTTTCAGGGGAATCGGCGGGCATATGCAGCCAAACATAGGAGAAAAGTGAATTTCCCGCCAAGCAACTTGGCAGGAGCTCCTGAAACAAAAAGAGGAATCCTTGATAGAACAAGAAACGAGTAAAAAATGTAGGCAAATTAATCATAGCATAGCTGACAGAAATGAAAAAAGCCGGAAAACACACTGAGAAAAAGCTATGGTTTATAAACCTATTAGTGGTAAATATGGAACACCTATAATAGTCGTAAATAAACTAATGATTCTCGGTCTGTGAACCATACTAAGGTCTCTGTACCTAATTAAGGTACAGAGACCATAACTAAGGTATATGTGCTATTATTATATGTAGAGGTACTACTATTAGTGGTGTTCCATATTTACCTCTAATAGGTTTATAAGCCATAGTTTTTTCTCAGTGCAGGAAAAAAGCATCAACATAAAAGAAAGCAACAATACGGACTTGAGAGCATGATTAGATGTGTTGCGTAAAATTGAAGGTTGTCTAAATCGATTGTACTTGCTATGAATACAATACTGCCGTGCTAAGGAAGAACGCCGTATGAGCATTTGAGAGTTGCCACATTTTTCCTCTTAAAATATTAAATTTTGAGACAAATAATGAATATATCTACCTGAAATTATCTGATACTTGAGATCACATTGCGAAGATAATTCCTTGAAAAATTAGAGGAAAATTTTCACAAGTTTTCCCAAAATTTCGTATTTTACCAAAAGATTTTCGGCAACGCACGAAGGTTCATACGGCGTTCTTCCTTGGCATGGCAGAATAATCATGTAATTATCGCATTTTTGGGGTCAAATTGGTCTGTTTAGCGGTCGTTACATACATATACGATTCTACAAAACCCTCGAACTCGATAAGATATCGATCAATCTATATCGATCGGTCGAGAGTAATTCGAGAGCAGTTCGACTAATACGACGGCCCGGAATTTATCAGCGAACAAGAACTGTCTCTATACAAAGTTTCTTCATGGAATATATATAATTTTCTGGTTTCCCAGTCCTCAAGGTTCATTCATACTAGTTTGAATTTTGTATTTCAAAAAGCGTAGTTCGATTTAAGATTTTTGAAGGTTTAACATAACATGATCCATTGCTCCAATTAAAAGCGTCCGACTAAAATACAACTTTTCACCCTCAAATAATAGGCATGAGATTTAATGAAATGCTCATTGAGAAGAGGAGTTCCTATGCGCATTACAGCGATTGGTAACTGACATGCAACTATTGAACCATTGCTGTAACCCCCGGTGGTATCTTCCGATTTTGAAGGCATTCCATGACGCTACGTCTTGGCTACTACTAGATGCTAGAAGTGCGTCTCCAGAAAGTCACACTCATTCTTTTGAGTTTACATTTGAAATTATTTTTTCTTCCATCCTCTCTCTTATTTGAACTAATACTTTCTTTATTTCCCTTTTTCCTGCTTTTTCCCATAATCTCTTTTTGCTTCCTCCCTCGCTCCCCCTCTGCCCCTTTCCTCTCATAACTCCCTTTTGCTCGCTTTTTTTCCCTTCACTGATACCTTTTTGGACATCCTTCATTTCCCCTTTTTCTACTTCTTCCGTCATTTCCTCTCTCCTTTTTCCCACTTCCTTTTTCTTCCTTTTGTTTCATTTTCCCTCTCGGTTTCCTTTTTTCTCCCTGTTCATTTATTTTCTCGTATTCTCAACCTCTTACTACCCTTTTTAAGCGCTTAGTTAATCGATAGCGCTCTTTGATTTCAACCTCACTCTGGAATTCTAGTACAGTGGCACTGCGTTCAAATGCCGCACCAGCTCAACAAGATGGTAGAGATGGGCCTATACCATATTTAGAATAGATTAATCTGTGGTGCCATTATTCAACGCTTCTGATGTCGAAGAAGGACGATCCTCGGTTTTCTAATATTTATTTTTTTTAGCCGTAGGCTAGTTTCCTCAAGATTGATAGTTGAAATTTTGTTGAGCGAGTTCTCTCATTTCAACAAGGCTCATCTTTTTCGGGAAACTTAGAAACGCGCCTACATAAAAAGCAGCTGAACGCCTCTCTAATACGAACGCATTAGAGCTTTCCCGTTTATTTCTTCTTCTAATTCCCGTGCGTAAGTAAATAAAACATGGAAATTCTATAAAGTTACTAGGTAAAAATTCCGCGGATTGCGAATCGGGGAGGACAAAGACAATCGAAACTAGGAGGCCGCTCCGCGGGCGGTACATGTAAGCTCAACCGTGCAGTTACCCCCCCCTCCCCCTCCCCTCTCGGGCCTCGCCACGCCGACTCAAAGGACGGGAGGGGGAGGTGCAGTGGAGTGAAGAATAACAAAACATATTTTGTAGTACACACTTTTTTTCCGCCCGGAGCCGGAGCCGGCGCGGCGCGACCGCAGCCGCGCGAAACAAAACGGAAACAAAGCGGGAAAGATTGAGAGGAAAAAAGCGCCGAAGAGATTTGAATAAGCATTCATTCCGGCCCCGGCTTCAGCAGTCGCGGTTTGCGGTGCCCCGAAGAGGCTGCGGCGACCCCAGAGCCGGCTCGTGCGAAAATTCTCCGTTTCCAGCCTCCAATACTCCCCTGCTAAGGGAAAACGCCGTATGAACCTTCTGGCGTTGCAAAATTTACTTTGATAAAATGAAAATTTCCTGATAAATTGATGTATATTCTCCTCCCAATTTTTCAGATAGTTTAGTTCTCAATTTTACCTGAAGATTCTGAAAATACATATATAAAGGGAAATTCGTGGCTTCCCTAAAAAATAAACATTTTATCGAAGGAAATTTGGTAACTCTCGAATGTTCATACGGCGTTCTTCCTTGGCACGGCAGAATGGGCAACAAGACAAGGTCTAAATTAGAGACAAACTCAACATGTTTTCGAATTCTTGCGAAAATCTGTCAGTATTTTTCTTCAAATTTTTCATACAACTTTGTTCCCGATATCTCTTAGAGCGTCTGAAAATGGGCCTGTTGCAAACTTTTGCTAAAGCAAAAATAAGAGTTGTTTCTTGTAGATAATGCCTCAAAAATCACGATGAGCGCATCAGAAAAGTCTGAAATGCACTCATAACTTCACAATCTGCGTAAGAAATTTGCGTTTTTTTAAGCTTCCCGCTTCAAAAACGATACTACGGCACAGGTGAACATTTTGTTAAAGGAGTCGCTCCATCGTCGGCGATATTCATCATGGCCGACGCTTGCACGCAGTTCCGCGCGTAATTCAAGGAGAGTTCAAGGTCAATCAATTAGGGCGTGGAAAATATGAACGTTAACACACCGATTGTTATCAGGTCTAATCCAGTTCAGGTATTATCTCGTCCCATCAAACGTGTTTTGGCGGATTGGCGTCGGCCATGATGATTATTGCCGACGATGGAATGACTCCTCTTACAAAATGTTCACCTGTGCCGTAGTATCGTTTTTGAAGCGGGAAGCTTAAAAAAACGCAAATTTCTTACGCAGATTGTGAAGTTATGAGTGCATTTCAGACTTTGCCGATGCGCTCATCGTGATTTTTGAGGCATTATCTGCAGGAAACAACTCTTATTTTTGCTCTAGCAAAAGTTTGCAACAGGCTCATTTCAAAGATAAATATTCGTAGCTTTCCTCAAAAATAAACATTTTATCGAAGGATATTTGGCGACTTTCGAATGTTCATACGGCGTTTTTCCTCGGCACGACAGAGTAATTCGTCATCTTCCGGCTGAAATGTCACAAGCGCCATGCGACGTTTCAAAATTTTCGCCGCCGTTTTATTTTCTTATGGAGAAAGAGTTACAGGAAGCTGTCCAAAAATATCACTGAATTTTCTTTATGCTGCCGAAAAAATTCAATGACATTTTTTAAACAGATTCAACCAACAATTTTTCTGTAAAGAGATAAAATGGCGGTGGAAATTTTGAAACTCCGCAAGGTGCTTGAGATACTTCGGCCAGAAGTTGACGAATTGTCGAGGTGGACTCGCAACGAAGCGTGGCGTATCCCGGCAAAATGAAGGCGCTTCAATTTGAGATCGTCCTGCTATAGGTTCTATATTTAGCCATGGATCGCATTCGATAGTGGTTCGGTGTATAGTTTGGTTCAAAATAATAGAAGATGACTTATTATAAAGATCATGATTATATTTACAACCGCGGTTACTCTTGGTTAGAATTATAGCTACCATTGTTGCAAAGAAGAATATAACAGTCGTGTTATAATTGAATAAAATATTAAGTCAACAGAAAAGAGAAACATAAATATGTCTCTGATTCTAGATAACAAATCATCAGTATTTTTTATAATAGTAACAATAAACAAGACTAGAATTTTCGGATTTAAGGTAGAAAAGCTGGAAAAGAGGAAATAGAGAATTTGCAGGTGTCTTAAATTTTGTGAATTTCTTCTTTGAAATGGCACTGCTAGGAAAATTAAGTACGAGGATATCCTTGGTTTCTAAATTGGACAATTATTGGAGAAAATATGACAAAATAACCTAATTTGCTAAAACAGTGTGTTTAAATGGAAAATGCCGCCAGATGACGTCATAAGGCGGCAAATTTTCTCAGTTTTAAATCTATTTTTACAATATTTTCCATGTCAGAGAAAAATTATGAAGAATACTGCGAACTCAGCTCATGACGCACTCTCAGATGAAGCAATACAATTGGACGTATTTCTGCCAAACAGAACTATGTGCATTAAGACATGAGCCCTGAGGCCCATAAGCATATGTGCATAACAGGGCTCACGTCATAATGCACATAGCTCCGTTTGATAGAAATACATCCAATTTTGGATTGCAAATTCTCCATTCCAGACAATTTCACTTCTCATTGCTATGTAGTGCTCATAAGAATCAAACATCTATCACAAAAACCCGTTACCACAGATTACTCGAGCTCTTTGAGGCCATGTTTACATATTGAACCAATTAGTATCCATTCAATTTCAGTTACCGAACGCCTGTTTCATCTATCGAATATGATCCATGCTTTTGAGTGTAAACTCCTCCACAAACCCGTCAACGCTGGTGCCTTCTCAGCCGAAACGCGCTCGGATCCCGGAAAAACCTCGGAAGAAGAAGCGAAATCTGAAGTTC